TATCAATATCCAAATTTGTTAAAAATTTCACTTTACATTAGTCATGCTACGTAATAAAAGAAAGCATGAATAAACAGCTGCTTCAATTGGTTTATAAAAAAAAGCGTCTTTATATTTTGTCGGTCTATAAGTCCAATAAGCGGTAGGACGATTAATTATGCAACAAAAATTGCTTTAATTAACTTATCTAATTTTTAAGAATACTATTAGTAGGAATACCGAAATAATACCGGTATTTTATTACGGTTTTCAGTACATATCGGTTTCGGTACTATAACGGTAACGGTATACAATCTCTAGTATAATATCGGTATTGAAATCATACCGGTAATAAGTCCCTGATCTTAGGTATACAAGAACGAGGATGTTTCTACGCTGTAAATAAAAATTTGCTTATGTGTATTTATTACAGAAGACAGGAAAAGTAAGAGAGATCTTAGGATCATTCTACAATGAGTTGAAAATTGTTCCCGTTGCCAGTTGCGAAAGGTAGCAATTACGAAAAGAAAAGTATTATTTCTGGTTGCGCTTTGTCTGGTTGCGGTTGCTAAAAGAGAGTTGGTCAACTTTTAACTTTTGTCAACAGCAACTGGCAACCGCAGCACGTAAATGAATTTTTCCCTAGTAGTTGCAACTGACGACGGGACATTTTCAACTCATTGTAGAATGGCCCTTATAGTTCACGGTCCCGATCCTGTAGTCAAGATCGTTTCCAAGTTCATCTTCCCTAGCGCGTGAAGATGTGAACAATTTTCTCTCTTGTCAGCTCTCGCGCGATCGTTCCTGTCGCGACGATCCGCTCGAATTTGTAGCCAATCTGCAAATTGTTAACAATTTACTGTGAGAATGTGTTTAGGAAGAAATTTTTAATTATTATGTTGTACGCAAGGACAAATAAAGCGAGATTAGAAAATTGCTCTTGCGTTCAATTCGATAAATAAATCGCGGCTTGTCTGGAACAGCGAATTTAAAAGTCCCGATTGTAATGACACAATCCCGGACACGTCAGCGCGTGGCGAGAACCAGCTCCGACCAGGTTTTTGAAGAAAAAGAGTGTAACAAGTGCAGATGAGACGTGTATATACATAGGCTGCTTTCCTTTTAGGAGACACAGTCGACACAAGTCGACACAAAAGTCATTTTGTCTTTGTTCAGTATTCAGTGAGAAACAGAGACAGAATGACTCTTGTGTCGACTTGTGTCGACTGTGTCTCCTAAAAGGAAAGCAGCCATACTTGGCGATCTTTGACCAGAGCGATTCAAAGTCTCATTTTCATGAGACTCTAATTCCACTTCGAATGTATTTTCAATTATAAATGCAATTTATATATGTATATGTCATAGAAAGAGAGAAAGAGGGGGGAGGGAGACGAAGACGTTCTGAATTTTTTTGTCAAAACCAGAGTTAAATATAACACGGGAAAGTGCGGAACGTTTCGCCGTTCCGTTTGCGCCTACGGATTACCTAAACGCCGAATAAAAGCGAGACGGAGCTCATGAAAGCTGATCCAAATGTAATGTTACACACACACGCGATACGCATATTGCACTCTTCGCGGGGGCCTGTACCGGAGTTAGGTAGCCAGTAAAAAAAAAAAATCCAACCCTACCACCGTGCGCGATACATATTGCACCCGCTCCCGATCGAAAACACTAGCAACAGCAGCAGCAGCCTTGGAGAAAACATCTGATTCGGTTTTGCGGCAGCAGCGGTGTACTTAATTTGAGTTAATTAACGAAGTGCGCGTTGCGACCGGACGCTCTCGTGTACGCGTAAAATTCTGAACGGAGTGAAAAACGGAGTTCGCTTTCATGGATCTAATAATATTGTCGCGCAATATATATATGCGATTATGAGACTGTTGTAATAAATCGGTCACGCTTGTTATGCGCTCGTCGAGATATACCGTCGGGTTCGATAATTGTAACCTTGAGCGCGGCCACGATTGCGAGTCGGCGTGTCGAGCGGGCGAGGGGACGTCGGGTCCGGCGGGTTCACCAGCGACGTCAAATCCCCGAGGATCCTGTGGGTCGCGCGCGGCGCGGAACCTGGACGTCAGAAGCTGGAGCCTAACCTAAGATGCGAACATTCGTAGACGCGTTTTTGCTGCTGGGAATTCATCTGGTTTACTGGTCCCTCGACACGGTGACGGCCATCGGAGGGGCCCTCGATTCCACCCCGATCTTTCAGACCGGTTCCTCGAGCACTTCACATTCCAAAGCTTTCACCGCCAGTCTCAGCGATGGACTGGCGCAAGCGGTGGCTCACGAGTCCAGTAAGTTGTCAAAAACGCATTGGCGCGAGAAAAAGAGAGGAATTATTCAATACACATCCTAACTAAATCTAAATTTATTTCCAGCTACGGATAACTGTAATGAAGACCTAGCTTGTATCACCATGGTTTCGAACGATCGACTAGGTTTAGAAGCTATAAAGTCCCTTCACAGCCAATTGGACGATGATGCCAATGGAAATGTTGATCTGTCTGAATCAGATGATGTATGCACATTTGTATATTGTTTCTTTATGAAGAAACTATATACTATAAATACTCTATGCACGTAATACATATATACATGTGCTTTAACATTGACAGTTTTTAAGAGAAGAACTGCAATACGAAGCTGGCTACGAGCGAAGGCAACGAGCTTTCCATCACAACGATGATATGCACATTAGCGTGCGAGAACTCTGGGAGGCTTGGTTACGATCAGAAGTAATATACAACAACATTTGCATTTTTGTTTTTGTCAGATTATTAAAAATGTAAAATACGCGTTGCAATGTTACTGTCTATTAGGTTCATAATTGGACTATAGAACAGACAGCAGAATGGTTAACTTCCAATGTTGAGCTTCCACAATATGTTCCTACTTTTATACAGCATCGTATAACAGGTGCCACTCTTCCTCGGTAAGTATATTCTGACAACTTTTATTTTTCAAGAAAAAAGTATCAATATCTTTTTACACATACGTGACACGCGTATATATTGCGATAAATATTAAAAAGTTTTTTTAATTTATTCTCTTTTAGATTAGCTGTGAACAATATGCACTATCTTAGCAATGTTTTGGGTGTTAAAGATCCGATTCACAAGCAAAAAATTGCTCTCAAGGCAATGGATGTTGTTTTGTTTGGACCTCCTAAAGGTAATATTTGTGTGAAAAATTTTATAATTCCTGAATACATTCTCGTATCAAAATGTCAGAAGCGGGAATTTGCATATATCAATTCTTCGTCGAATTTGGCGAATCTTTCTGCTTTTGTATGCCAACGATGACGTGCAAAAAAAAAACTAGTATTTCCGTACGTAATTTCTTGTTTCTGACATCACCGTTCAATACGAATGCAAAACGATTGTATGAAATGTTGTTTAAAATGCGATAATTAACGTTCAAAATAAAAAATAAATTCTTACGCGTATGCGCACCCACTTGCGGTTAACTTACAGATACTGGGCACAGCATCAAAGATTTGATATTAGTCACGTTGTTATTCGGAGCACTTATCGGATGCTGGTACGCGTATCAACAAAAGAAAAACTCACAAAAACATCTTCACAGAATGATGAAAGATATGGAGAGCTTGCACAAGGCGGAACTTGCACTCGAAAATTTACAGGTATTTCGAAATACGCGCGTAAATAAAATAATCAAAATTTCGAAACAAGATTGTGAGATTGTTGTGCGTGACGTTCTTTAACCAATCAAATTGCACGCGCACAATTGCAGAAAGAGCTTGAAAGGGCGAGGATGGAGCAGGAGAGCGCGGCCACTGAGAAGCAGAATTTGGAAAAACGTTTGCAAGACGAAAGCTTGGGGTTACACACTTCGTATTCGGATCTCGAAGTTTCGCAATTGAAAGCGGAAATTGAAGTTAATATCAATTGCGATTTATTTCTCACAATGAGTTACAGTTGATTTTCGTTTTGTTGTACTTACATCGATTTGTGTACGTCCGGCAGATGCTGAAAATAGAATTGCAACGAGCGGAGGGAGAACTTGAGGACAGATGCTGGTCACCACCGGCTGGATTGCAACATTGGTTGCAATTAACGCACGAAATCGAGAATAAAGCGTATACAAATAAGAAAATCGCGGCTGAGAAGCAGCTTCAACAAGCACGGGAAGCGGTAAGACAATTGTTGACTTCGTATGAAAAAAAAATTATAATATATAATAAAATAATAATTAATATATAATAAAAAATTAATATTAATGTTAATATTAATATTAATGCTGAGAGCAAAATATTTATTATTGTGTAGTGCGAAAAATTGCGTAAGAAACGGTCCAGTCTCGTGGGTGCGTTTGTCTCGACTCACGGGAAATCGATTGACGAGGTAGACAAGAGTATAGTTGAAGCCAGAACCGCGTTGAACGAAGTGACAACCGAGCTCAAGGAAAGAGTACATCGTTGGAAACAGATTGAGCTGCTCTGCGGCTTCAATATAATCAACAATAATGGATTGAATTACTTAGAGACCATTTTATACAGAGGGACACCGAATGGTCGAGGTCTTGGATTAAGAGGTATGTGATAACGCATAATGTTTTCTTAAACAAGAGAGAGAGAGAGAGAAGTGTCGTAAAATTTAATTTGTTGAAGAAAAGTTTACGCAAGTTGAGGTAGCTGTCATTGCTAAAATTAAAAACAGTTGTAGCTACAAAAAAGAACGGGGAAAAAAAATCTTTGTCAAATAATAAATATCTCGCGAACGCATGCGTATAACTTTGTTTCTGATGTCTATTGCAGGACGACTCAGTAGCCAAGATGATTTAGACGATGAGGCGAGTTCGGTATACACATCGGTCAGTGCGCACGCTGCAGGTAAGCTGGATACGGACTCCAATGAGTACTTAGATTGACGTATCTCGATGCTCATCCTATTCTTAAGTACTCCGTTGTGGCCTGTTTATATGTTGCGCATATTGACACGCATCGGTCACACGACGTAGAAATCCTTTTTGACGATTATATATAATTCACTAACGTGGTTTCCTCTGTTTGATAATACGGTAGAGAAAAAGTACATACATATATAATATTTTAGTAGAGCGTTGATGATATTTTTTGTGCCAAAATAACATAATATACCGTATATAACAATAAGATTTTCGTATAACTTGGTTTGTTAACATTATTGAAAATAATGTGCCTTGGGTGTACACATCATATGATCTTAAGTATACAGTACAAAGCGGCTGACATACAACGAGATCCACTCTTTTATCTCTTCGTTCTCCTGTTCTGTTTGTATGTCGGTTTGTATAGATAACGACAGAGATAAAAACAGAAAGAAAGAAAAAAAACAAAACTAGTGAAAGAAAGTGATGAAAAACAAACAAAAATAGTGAAAAAAAACAAATGGAATTATCTCGTGCCAATGCAATATATGCCATGTATGAAACTTAACGCGCGTTTTAAACACAGAAGACATGTGATTCAATTGTGATATTTACAAGAGAGATTTATATATACGTTTCGGCAATATAGTATGTATATATATATATATACACACACGCGCGCGCGATGTGTATTTTATAGATTACAGTCTTTTTATATCTTCCGGAAAAGATGAGAGACGACTCGAAGAAAGAGAAATGAAATCGCCAAAAATCGAAATTATTTGAGCGATATTATAAATAAGAGAGATGCACACACAAACAAAAGAGAGAAATTTTTAAACATATGTGTGCATTGAAAAATTACTCTTTAGCGCGTTTTTACTAGTTTTTTGAAAACTGTATACTTTCTTGAGATGTAACCTTTTGCATAACGTGGTGACGATTTTATAAACAATCTACTTCCGGTAAACAAAATAATATACCTCACACGTAGACGTAACATATATACATTTTCGATCTTTAGCATATTTTATATAGGTATACGAGAGAGAGATATATATATATATAAACTTCCACTACTTGCCAAATATAAATTGAAAGAGATTCGCGCGCGAATAAAACTGCACGACGTACTTTTGTCCGCTCAAAAAAAAATTAAAAAAATAAAAAAAAATAAAAAAAAAAATCACACATTCCCGTTGCTTAGAATTACTTACAACGTTAGTTTTTAGATTCGATTGCACGATATATACATGACGATATGGGCTCTCAGAAAATTTATTATATTGTTGACAAACTCATCACGTGGATCTGACGACGCAGAGCGATTGTTAGATAATTAATTGTACATAATTAATCGTTAATATCGCCGTTGTCTTTATGAATGTATATAGTACTCTTAACATTTCGCGGGACGAAGTAATCGCAAACGCGTTACAGAATAAAATTTTGTGAAGACACTTACACACAATATGTGTTTGACGCGAATCTTTTCGAAATCCTGTAAGCTTTACGATGTAGCTATTTTTTTTTTTTTTTTTTTTTTTTTTTTTTTTTTTTTTTTTTTTTTTTTTTTTTTTTTTGTGCAATTATTGATACACACAGTTACTGTATGTATGGGCATTATGTGTATAAAAATAAAATTTATATATGATACATCACTCATACACACACACACACACACACACACATAATACATAAATATATTGTATAGAAAATTCATTTTATTAGAAATAGTAAAAAAATACTTTGTATCTGTTTTTGCATCTTATTTTGTTATTTTTCAATGAGAAGCGTTTAGAAGTGAATTGATTTAATTAGTTAAGAAAATTTGTGTGTGTATGTGTGTGTGCGTGTGTGTGTATGTGTTCTTAAATTATTTTGTAAATCGTACTGTTTCGCAGTTGTGTACTCGTTACAACATTAATATATATATATATACATCTTTTTTAAACACACTTCTCCGAATACATGTATATATAATCTATCAGCGAGTTCTGTTACAGCAAGGTCTTTTGTCTTAGAAAAATTACGTAACAACACCTAATGGCGTTATTTTTCTGTGTATAAAATCTTCAATAATCGCTATTAATAAACTCAAGGAAGCTTGGAAAAGAAAACAAAACAAGAATACATGGGCTTATGTTAATGTTACCTGTACCGAAACTCAAGACACAGTGTGCGTTTCCGATTTGTGTATGCATGTTTCATAAAGCCTTTAGCGCAAAACATTTGTTATCGAACAGCTTGTACACGCACACATACAAATTTGTCACATAAGAGACAAGTATGCGCTCACGCGCGCGGGGTCAGGCCGTAAATTATTATTGGATGTAATCGTCGAACTCTCTCGACGAGCGCGACTTTGTTTGCGTGATAATGTGACGAGCGTTATGTAACTCTCTACATAGTCGAAAAAAGAAAAAAAAACACGCGGAAGAGCGATGGCTAAACGTCAGAATAACAATCAATTAAAGAATTGTTTATATTGTGCCGACGAAATTTTCCACGCAAAATTTTCCATCGATGAGTCACGCATTTGCTAGCGCGTAAGTTTGTATGTCGTAACAAACAAACGACATATATTTTTTCAACACGGGAATCTCCGCGCGGACAGTAGTTTTTTTTTTTTCTGATGCGAGCGCGATTTTGTTTTCACGCGATTTTCGCACGACTGACGCACAAACACTCGCTTCTCTCTCGCTTTTCCCTAGCATCGCTTTCATTTCTTTATTCTCATTAGAGTAAAAAAAATAAAAAAAAAAAAAACGATATAAGTGAGAGAAAAGAAATTTATTGCATTGTGGACATTACTTGGCATATTCGTAGGTATAATGGAGAACTCAGTGTGGAAGGAATCGTCGGTACCGCCCGCAGGTCGACTCGGAAATGAACTCTCCGATTCCTCGAGCAGCGACGCGGAGCGGGAGTCGCATCATGGAGGAACCGTTCACTTCGTTCTAGGCGACGGACCGGAGGAGCCTGTCGGAGTACCCGGTGGCAAGAGTACGACGTACTGCAGCAGCAAAGAGAAGGTCGGCATGGTGCGTTCTTACAGTCAGGACACGAATATGCTGGCGAACGAGGACAAAACTTCGTACATGCAGAAAACATCGTACTCGGAGAACTCGCTCGATGTTTCGGACAGGTCTAGCTATCGGTCCGCGAACGCAACATTGACGACCACAGCAGCAGCAGCAGCGACGACAACGACGACGACGACGACAACAACGATGACGACCGCGGTGACGGCAGCGACGAGCAGCATCAAGAAACCGTTCCGGGAATTACCTACTCTAGTATCAATCGACGACGAGACGCTCTCGACCGATTCCAATTCAACCGCCGACAACGACGAGCTTAAGCGAAGACGCAGGAAGTTGTTTCCACCCTTTAGAAAGAATAAAACTAAAGTTACGTGATGTTCGCTAGTCACATAAAATCCCGTTTGTTACTTATGTAATCGCAATCCAATTTACGATCGAATTGTGTAGTTGTACTTAAGTCGCAACCACGCGTGCCACTTAAGGATTATTTTATCAGTAATTATTAGGTATTATTATTGCGTGATATGTACCGACACACGACAAACAAAGACATTACACTTACACACACGCTTTTTTTCTCTTACACACAAACACACACGCGCACACGCACACACAAAGTCTCTCTTCTTTTCCTTGTCTCTCTGTTTCACGGTCTCTCTCTCTCTCTTTTTTTCTCTCTCTTTACACGCGTTATAGAGATACATTGTTTGTTGTTGAACCCGCTGTTCCTTTCCACTTTGCCAAGTCCGCGTGCGCGTGTCTCGATCCACGCGCAAAGTAGTGTAATTACCAAGCAATTAAGCGGAGGACACTACCGGAAAGACACGTTCGACTTTATACATAAATACATCTTAGATACGAATAGATTTTTAGAATTGTAATATTGTGGGAAGTTCGAATTATATATAAACATATATTTTTTGGTACGTATTATATCAGGAGACCGAGGGCGGCGACTGGCTCGTAGGGTCGAGCGCCTTGATGACGTAAAAAAAAAAACAAATTTCCAATTCTTCTCTCTGATGCACTCTTCGCGAGCAATCGATCGCAAAAGATAAAACAAAAAGCAAAAACCGTGACCGAGACCGACGAACGTGCGTTACGTTTTTGTTGACGAGTCCAGTCGCCGGCTTGAGACATTCTCCGGATTTTGATCACGAACTTTTATGAAGTAAGATTTTTTCACGATATAACATTTAGGGATAATAATTAATACGATTAGCGTAATCTTTTTTATCGCGATATAATTCCGTAGTTTTAGTCATTTGGGTACTGGGCTGGGTTACAATTCGATGTTGAATTTATTCGTTACACGTAAACACACATCCACACACACACACACACACACATATACACACACTCTATCTCGTCTAATATGCGTATTACTACGTTTTGTATCGAGGTAGTTTTATAAACAATTGTACGCAACAAAAAAAAAAGATATCCGTGCGTCAACTTACCGTCCACATATGTAATGGCAATATCACGCTACGGCGAAACGGAAACGTTGTAATACATTTTATACATTTTGTACGTATAAATTTTCGCAGATCGTTTATCGAATATTGCCGCACAAGACTCGATTCGATCGAACGCCCGAGATATTCAATCGTCTTTTTGTCGAAATTTCCCGAATTCTCGTGTGTGTTGTTGCTGCCTTGATATATCGATATTTAAATTACATATACCGCGTAGAGAAACGTTCAGACAACTTGACGCAATAATGAGTAAAAAAAAAAAATTCAATTTATAAAATAAATTTGTAAATATCGCAAAATTAGGGGATTGTTATATATAAATGTTAGAACTTGTTCGCGGATAAACTCAATTTTAGTTTCCGAGGAGCGCGTTTTCGAAGTCTTCTGTAGATTTCTGTGCTTCGAATCTTGATATTTATTGATGAAAAAAAAAAAAGAAAAACGAAAACAAAAATAATACTATTTGTTTAACACGACACACAACCTCATGATCAGTTTATTAATTTTTACCCTCACATCTGTACTTGCACTCAGCTCAGAATTTATAAATGGCTTATATATATCGCAGAGCGGGGCTGGAACCTCGCTGTATTTTTATTTTGTTACTTGTTGAAAATTTTTTTCGTGTCGCACCGTCACACTCACGAACCGCCTGCAAGATACAATATTCCGCGATAAATTCCCAGTATGTTTTTTGTTTCTTTCTTTCATAGCTTTGGCAAGTTACTTTATTTTTTTTATAATTATATATATATTAATTTTATTATATTCCTGTCTTAGTGTATACGCTCAATTATGTTAGTCGCACGATTTGTCAGCAGATATTATTTACAGCCATTTTTACAAAAATTGAAATTGTTCCGAGTGACTTTTCGATAGAAAATTCACATTTTGCGACCAGAGTGACACATTTAAATCTCACGTGACGCTGAGATCCACGTGACGTATTCGTGATTTTCTCTGGAATCTCTTTCGTATTTCATAAAATTACAAAATTAAGTTAGAATTGGATGCGCGCGATTGTGTTGACAATTAACTTAACGGGTGACAATCGATACAACGTGTTTTGTCATAAATTGTGCGCGTCGTTAACAAATTTGCTCAAGTTTCGTCGACGAACATTCGAACGAACAGGAAGACACAAAACAATTTATATTATCGGATCTTGCTATTGCTATCTCGAATGTTCATCAATGAATAAAAAAAGAAAGAAGATTGAAATGTGTCAACTTCTCTCGGCGCAATGTGATTTGAAAGTAGAGTCGCTGATTCTCCACAAAACGTTCTTCCTTAGAGAGAAGACTCTCCGAGATGCAATGAATTTTTTTTTTTTTTTTCACGAAGGACAGTTTCTAAGGCTATGTGTTACGCTACGTGTTACTTTTTTGAAATGTGAATGATAGATCTGATCCTAATTTATCTTATTAGATTTAAGAGGCGAATGTTTTCGAGGTTTATAGTCTATCGCGCCACACAAATCTCCGTTGAGAGTTGAATATTATATATTTTAGGACACATTTTAGAGACAGCAAACAAAAACAAAAAAACAAAAATAACAAAATAAACCGTTTAATTGTAAAGCTTGTATATCCGATATTTAAATTATTATTATTATTGTTGTTATTCTTAGTGCAATGTGTTACGACAATGTGTCACGCGCGAATTGCAACGCGCGTGCGTCTTCCCTGTAATATATAAAATATATATATATATAAAAAGTAACATTTTACAAAAATAAATGAACAAACGTGTGTCCGCACACAAAACAACGCTCTTTTTTTTTGACGAAACTCCCCTTACATAAAATTTATACGTGTAAAATTGTCCACATTATATTTTCAAGGTTTTAGACTATCTCATAGATATCAAACGCAATAATCCCCGAACTGTGTTTGAGAAAACTGTGTGAGCCGAATCGATTTTATAAACATTTTTATTTGACTTGTTTTGCAACGTGTCGTGGTTGTCAATTGCTTCTAATAAATTACCCGATCAAATTTTCACGACGTTATCAGTATGCAATTTCCGGTATTGATGTAATTCAAAGAAACGGGAGGGGGAGAGTTAAACGAGTGGTTCGCACGAATCTCTTTAAAGAAAATAAAGTTTCTCGCGACACGCAACTCCGCGTCCGCACGGCAGAACAATGTTCTGTTTAATATGAAGTGTGTGATTTGACTCGCAATTTCAACTAATTTACATGGGCAAACATCGCGGTTGTAATTCACGTGTGTGAATTGGTTTTGTTTTTTTTTTTTTATTTTATTTGCTATATATATATATAAATTATCATTTTATACGTATATTGTACAATATAACACGCACAATATGTACACACAGCTCTCGATGTAACGATCATCAAACGATTTACTGGTTACCGAGACTAGTATAAACTATAGAGGTCTTCGACCACTTACGACGATTGGTGTAAATGGTAGTGCAATACACGAAAGACTCAGATGCGAAACCGACTTTTTAACCTTTTCTTTCGATGTAATTGTTTCTTTGTTTTTACAACGGTATAAAAAATGTATATATTGACGGGAATCGATTCAAACGAAACGATTTCTAACTTCTCGCATGTACGTACGTACATACGTCAAAATTTTGTATTTCTGGCAGTGTGCGATTTTTTCTAATATTTTTTTGTTTTTTAGATTTTGAGAGATTAAAGTTGCGTTTTCTTCCCTCAAACGCATCGAACGATTGTTTTTTGTTTTTTTTTTTTACATCCGAGTCTTTCACACAAAGTTAAATAACCACATGTACAATATAGTCAGTCTTATAACGTAAAAATACAAATATACAACATATCTGCGTACGTATGGACAGACGGACGGACTACTTCGTTAGATATATCCGCACGAGAGAGTAACAGAACGTGAGATATAGAATCAATTCTGAATTCGCGGTATCGATTCAGTTCAAATCTGCATTGTGCTCATAAAATCGCGGAACACATATAGTATATATGTATGTACGTTATTATTTATAAATTTATTATTCATATATTTGTATATATTAGAGATAATAAGCACCGATTTTTGTTTTTCTCAATAACGTTTGCATCGTTTCGGACATATATATGGGAGCTTCGTTGCCGTGCTAGAATAACGTGTATTTTCGTATATAACGTGTGTATAACGTATTTTTCGTTAAAATCCAGGTACGGATTATCGACATGCAACAACATCGAGTTCGCGCGATATAGCAACACTCTTTAAAATCTCTATCACGTTTTCGCGCTCTGTTTTTTTTTCTTTTTTTTTTTTTTCACTTGGCTCAAGCGACAACAATGTTCTAAAGACGTGTATAAAACGCGCGTCGATCATAAATATATATAAATTTATGTATAACATGCTACAAACTACACGCGCACGCATACGTACACACATACACGCACACACAGGTATATTACCGCAGTGAAGATCGTTAATACTGAAGGATCGTTGAAGAATTGCGCCCTCGGCGAGAATAGACTTGGAAGAAAAAATGCGCATTACTTTGTTGCAACCTGTAATAATATCGAGAAAAATATAGATATTCAATTATTCGGTGTATTCTCGTCGTCCTGCTGCTCGCTGGTCTCGGCCGCTGAGGGTATCGTGGCGAGTAATCTGACGGCCAGTCGTCCCGGCGATCCAGGCGGTTCCGGTTCCTGAATGGCGAACTGTCGGGTGAGCCGCGGTTTCGGTCTCACCGGCCTCGGCGTGTTCCGCGCGCTAACTTCCAGGGAGGCACTGGATCTCGAGATGCGCCATGTACTGGTGCTGGCAGTGGTCGCGGAACCGGACGAGTCGTTGCGCGAGGAGCTCAGATTCGAGTCCTGAGACGGTTTCCGGGTGATGAGCCAGGAGGTGGTGCGTCGCTTCGGGTCCAACAGTCGAAGCGGGATGCCGCAGTGATGCGCCTGCCGCCAGGAGTCCGATCTTGAGGAGGAGAAGTTCTCGCTGGATGACACCGAGGACGCGCGTTTGTGCTGCTTCTGTTGGATCTGAGCGATCTGGTACGCGTACTGGTCGTTGCGCGCGTGCTGCGGTCGGGAGTCGCGCGCGCACGGCCAGAACAATCCTGTGCTCCAGCAGCGATAGGACGAGCAGCGGCTACCGGTCTCGAGAAGCCGCGCGTTGCAAGTGCACGGGGTCTGAAGCTGACTCTGATGATGTTCCCGCGACGACCGATCGACCAGACTGTTTGTGTTAGCGGGTGTCTGCCGATTGCTGAAATTCGAGCTGTGCCGACACCGGCCGATGCCCCGTGTCACGCGCGACTCCTCGATCGCTTTGCATATCAGCACGCAATCCTTCTTGAATTGTTTCGTGAGAATCGCGTACAGAAACGGGTTGCAGCAAGAGTTGAGCGGTAGCACGAACACCGCAAAGACCTTCGCCTGCTCGAGGGACACCAGCTGCAGGCCGAAGGTCGCCGTGAGAGAGAAGAAGGCGATCGGTGACCAGCAGAGGAAATCGGTAAACACGAGCAACGCCATTCTTTTCGCAATCCGCGAGTCGTTCGAGTTCCACGCCTGGGAGCCGCGTATCGCGCAGTACATCTTCAAGTAACATCCCATCAGTATCAGGAAAGCCACTCCGTTGATCAGCATGAGGAACACCACGTACGCGAGCGCCGCGCTGCCGTTCGTCTCGAACGGCAAACAGATCGCAAACTTTCGGTAGTCCGAGACCCCGAGCAGCGGCAGACTCGCCATCGACAGGGCGAAGCACCAACCGATCGTCATGATGTAGCTCGCGTGCTTCAGCGAGAGTCGCTTGTTCAGGTGCATCGCGTGAGTGATCGCGTAGTTCCTCTCGAGAGTGATCACCGCGAGCGTGTAGACGCTCAGCTCGGAACTGAGAACACCCAGGAAACCGGCCAGTTGACAGCCGGCCGACATCTGCCACGGTATCGCGTACATCCGAAATTCTCCCAGTGTCGACGCGTCGACAACCGCCAGTAAACCTGCAAAAAGGATTGCGGCGTGGTGACCTCGCCTATTGATGTGTGTTCTTTTTGTAATTGATGTACAACATATTACAACTATGTGTGCTCTAAAAAAAGAATTATTATTATTATTATTATTTGTTGTTAAAAATCACCTAAATAAACACCCATGAAAAAGTCGGCGGCGGCCAGGTTGCAGACCAGAAATCGCGGCACGTCCATCTTGCTCCTCGAGAATATCAGAACAAACACCACGGTGCCGTTACCGAGCATAGCGAGGAGAAAGACTATCCACACGCCGCATCGCAGTGTCCACCAGTCGAATAAATCCTGGCACGGCAAGAACGGACCTGCGGGGATTCACACAGCCACGCGAACGGACAGAACGAAAAAAGAAAGATTTATGAGGTAAAATTTTATCATCATAACCGTCGCACGCGTTCGGGCGCGGCGCGTTATTCGATTCACCTGTTTGAACACGTACCGGGTTGCGGCAAGCATTGAATGCGAGACGACATCGTTCGTGTCGGTGTCACCGTTCGACCGTCTACCTCCTCGAAATAATCCTCTACGTAGGAAGGCAGGTTGCCGGGATACGTAAAATCTGAACCAAAGTTAGCCCAAAGTTCATTTATCTGCGATCCGAATTTGTCGGTCAAGTTATCTAGAAAACGTATTTTATCACACTTCAGTGCCGCAAAGATCGATGTTGTAATACATTATGTGATATAGTACATGACATGTATGTGTGTAATAATGGACGTGAGATAGCATTTTGCTTTTTTTTTTTTTTTTTTATTCTTCACGCGTCTGCTCGAGGATACAATACATTGCCGGGATGAAATATAACAGGTCTCGAGACGATCAGAGACTCTCTGATGCTTTGCAGCAGTTAAGTGTCAAACAAATGACGCGATATTACAGGTGCACGTGTGTATGAGAGAGTGCGAAATGCGTGAGACAACATGCCAGATACGTAAACAAGTCATAGATATGGAAAATATGAGGAAATTTCGTTCAGCAAGCAAAATGGAAGAAATGTGCCGGCAGATCGACAGCAAATTCACAGAGCCGGGAGTGATTTGTGATATTAATTGACAAATAATCAATTGTCAGTTTTTTGACACAATTTCTCAGTAAAATCCGAGCGGATCGAACAATTTTTTTTTTTAGAATCGACAGATTTGCTCGGTTGCCGCTGCCGATCTGCCGATCGCGCAAAATGTGGTCGACAGACTATTATTGTGGTAAGAGTTTCCGATGCGTTTCAATTGGAATTTCGCTTGGAAACGCGTCGAATCTTCTCTTTGACGACAAAGTGAACCGCGAAAATCTCTGTTCTCGACAGATTTTGCTCTGTCGGTGGGTTACTTACTCAACTGCGGCCAGATATCGCTGAAAGTCGAGTTCCACAGATTGCTGTCGATATCGTCGGTCGGGAACAGAATCGATTCCCGTACCGGCGAATTCGTGACAGGTGTTTCCGCTTCCTCCTCGTCCGAGAGAAACGAGCAGCAGTGATAAGCGTACGATAGCAGCATTGTTTGCACCCGCGGGAACTTCTCCGGGGACGGGAATTCTCGCAGCGCGGGATTGTTGAACGTCTTGAGATGCAACAATCCCGCGAGGCCTCTTATCGGCAGTGTGGGAAAAATATTGTTTCCCAAATTTCTACAAAACACACACACACACACATTCTCAGTTCGCGTGCGTGTAAAAGACACGATTCGATTTATTCGTCGTTCCAAGTAAAAAACAAAACAAAAAATCACTCACAGATCCTGCAATCGTTTCGTTTCTCTGAACGCGTCTGGATGTATGTAGTCGATGTAATTGTTCTCGAGATCTCTGTAACACGGATATTCGTTTGAATAATAAATATGCGCCGGGAACAGCTCGTATAAAACCCGGAGATAAACTCGAGAGCGGAAAACAGAGCACTTACAGAACCTGCAGTCTGGGTAATCCGGTAAATGCGTCGCTGGAGATGCTCTGCAAGTTATTGTTGGATAAAAGGAGATCGTGCAGCATACCCAAGCCTTTGAAAGCGTCGTCGGGTAATGCGGAGATCATATTGCTAGCTAAGTCCCTAAAACGAGCACAAAGCTGGCAATTGCCCGCACTGTTTTAACGCTTCGCGCGCGTATGTGCACAGTCGCGTGTAATATTTACTTACAAAACACGAAGTTCGTTGCATTTTCGCAAATCCGGTATTTCGGTTAAATAGTTGGATTTTACGTCACTAAAAGCAAAGAGAAAGAGAGAAAGTATGAGAGAATAGTCGCACATATCGCGATAAAGTTTGTCGCACCCGGCAATAAATTGTTGATTCGACGATATATTTATGCGATTCATTATGCCGCATCTGATATTTATGAAATTTGTTGTAAATTTAATGTAAATTGTATTTTTGCAATTCAAATTTGTTTTACTGAGCGCGAACGAAGTTGTTGTAATTATCATTGCGAGAGAAATATATATATAATATTTAAATAACTCGATCATTAAATTATTTAATTTGTTTAATCCAAATAAATTAATCATTTAATTTAAATGTAATATTCAACCGTTTAATTTAAACGTTTTCAATTAAAATTTCATTTCTTCGCGCGCGAGAAACTTACAGACTTCGGAGTTTTGAACATTTTTGGCAAAGATCAGAAGAAATCTTCTTCAACTGGGAGCGATCTAGTCTCAGTATTTCCAGAGACGTAGCTCCGCTTAGATCGGGAAACAGCTGCAATTCCCTCACGTTCGATAATATCCTGGAATCAATAATGCGCGGTTTGTTTCACACCATGTGTTTTACCCAATTGTCTCGCGTCTAACTTTCGCGGGTGTAACGTGCGAATAAAACAATTACTTACAACTTACGAAGTTTGCCGAGATTTCGGAAGGCTCCGTCGTCTATCTCCTTGATGGGATTTCCGCGTAAATCAAGCGACATCAGATTGCGAGTGCGGTGCAACGCGTCCCTCGTGAGTTGTTCTATTCTGTTGTTTGATACGGACCTACAACGGAAGGAAGAAGAAACGGGCGGAAAGGAAGGAGAACGAGGAAAATGAATAAACGGTAAATATTTCAATGAGAGAGATAACTGCTGTGTGAGATTTCACACGAACGATAAGCGCACTTACAATTCCTCAAGGCTAAGCAAATTCGCAATGGCGGCTGGTATCTCCGTCAAGTAATTTTCATCGAGTTCCCTGAAGATAAAAAAAAAAGAAAAAAACAGTCGAATAATAAATTTCCCAAGTTTTCGCGACTATTTGGCTTCTTCTGTTTTTTTTTTTTTTTTTTACTTACAGTATACGAAGGCCCGGTAAATTTGCAAACGCGTCATCGTGAATAGTTTCCAAACGATTGCGTCGGAGAAACCTGAAAGCGACGCGTGTTTAGATGTTACACGTGGCATAAATTTTCACCTCGTATGTAATGCGATAGAACTGATCAAACTGATCTCGCGGTGGAGATACTTACAAAATTTCGAGATTGGGAAATCGATGGAAAACACGCAGTGGAATGTCCGTTATGCTATTGTTGGTCAGATCGCTGAAACAATTTGCGTAAAACGTGCGCACGATAAGAGAAATTCGAACGATCGCGGGACAATTTGTCCCGAAGGTGACACGCCGCCAACGAACAACATCAAAGGGCAGAAAAATAATACTGTTTAGCGTGCAATTTGTTAAAAGCGAAAAAAAGTCTTAAAAAAAAAAAAAAAACAATATTCTTTCACCGGACAACTGTGAGAGATCGCTGCGCACCGTAAAAAGGGGAGAAGATATTATGCTCCCGCACGAGAGTGCAAACGGATCCCGGATAATTCTCCTCTTTCTACCCTTTGGGCGCGCGCTTAAAGTAGAACTCGAGATCCTCAGATCCAGATTACACTGTGACCGACTGAAATTTATGTAAAGACTCCGGGTATGATCCCCGCCCGCGATTAAAACTAATGTTCGACGGCTTATCGCCGAATCGTCTTGTCGGTCACGGTAAGATGATTTTTTTTTCTAGCCTGGGCGAGAGAGCGGTGTGTTTTGTATTAATTCTATTTTTTTTTTTGTCACGCGGAAAAGAGCGAGACCGACCTCGAACAGAACTGAGCGCGCGATAAAGTTAAAAATGTTGCGACATATTGATATTAATAACAAATTTACTCAATATCGTTATCACATGTTAGTTACTTCACTTATCATTATCCGATAATTGTATTTTATTAGATTTATTCATTTTTTTTGTTATACATAGAGAACGGGATAGTCGTCTTCTAATGGATACATATATATATATATATATGTATATTATGTATATTATGTATCTGTTTGTGTGTTCCATTAGAAGGCAACCGTCCGCGCGGTTTTAGCGAATACTATCGAGACGAGCGAGTCACAGAAATCAATGTTGTGACATCGGCTAAGAATGGCACCAGCTTGCGCGCTTTTACGGGGTACACAAGTAATAAAAAGAAGTAGGACAATGTTGAGGGAAACACCGGCGCGCGACTAGCAGAAGGAATCGACACTTTTACGCTCGCGTCGTCGGCGCGAATCCAGAGAGGGATTCTGCGTGGGATTCTCTGGCCCATTTTTTATGAGGTCCTTCGACCTCATTCGCTCAGGATCGATGTCTGGTCATTCGTTTTATACGAAATACGGAACGGGGAGACACAACGTTTTGTGTAATACGAAGAATATGGCGAGAGAAAGGCTTTTTGACGAGAGAGAGAGAGAGAGAAAGAGAGAGAGAGAGAGAGAGAGAGAGAAAGAGAGAGACAGAGAGAGAGAGACGAGTATATAGCGTGTCAGTCGCGACGAAAACTTGAGTGATCGATCAAAGATGTTAAAGATATTATTAAAACTTCACGTTATGTCCGTTGACGCAAAGATAAACGCCTTTGATCGAAACGTCCTGTCTCACTCCACAAAGAAGCTTCGCGCTGTCTTGAAGCTTTTTCACGTAAAAGATTTTCCTCTTTGGAAAATTACAAGTTGCGAATAATAACGATAAATATGAGTGTTACCGATATTATTCAATTATTGAAAATTCGCAATGTGCTCGCGGTCGGATTACAGTCACGACGCCGAATAACTAACGAACGCATTTGCTCGATGCAATTACCTCGCCCGCACGCAATGTCACTGAATTCATGCAACGCGTTACTCGTATACATGATGATTGCTCTTATTTGTCATTCGATAAAAATTGTTGACAAACAAAGGTACAAGCTCGTCAAATTCGAGAATTAAAAAAAAAAAAAAAAAAGAAGAAGAAAATAAGACCCACGTAACGCGGGCAAATTGGATTTTAATATAAAATTTATTTCAAATTGAAACATTTTATTCATGTTTCATATCGTTATTCGAGCATACTGTGTTCGTTTGTACATTTTTTTTTTCACTCGCGCGTAATTTTATTACTGCGCAAACATCGAGAGCGATTTAACCGCGAATGCGGTTTAAATACGAGAAACGTCAGAAACGTCAGAAACGTCAGACGGGCGCTTTTCTGATATGTCGCCTACATCGATGCAGCAATCTCGCGCGTCTCAGTCGAATGTATTTTTTTTTCTTTCTCTCTCTCTCTCTCTCTCTTTCTCTCTCGTTTCATTCTCTCGTCTTAAAATAGAAAAAAGCAAGAGAGTGACACTTTCGAGTTTGTTTTCTTTTTTTTTTGTTCAAGTTCCCGATGGAACTTTCTCGGCGCGAACACACGCGGACACATTGGATTCTAATTACGCTTTCGGAACATGACAGGCCTTTGCGCAGGCCTTTGAAAACTTTCGATGCTTTATACACGCTCCAAGGACAGCTTGTTGAATTTACCAGACTTTGCACTTCTCTGGTCAGGTGTGTGTATGTGTGCAATGCGCGTACGCGTATTCGCGTTGTGTCATATCTATACGTACAATACGTAGCGTTCCATCATCGCGGTATCGGGAATCCCATTCCGCGCGTTCACGAAAATCTCGTTGAAAAACAAAATGAAAAAAAAAAAAAAAAAAAGCAAAAATTGAAAGTTCCGCTCTCAAAAATTATATTCCTCTCTACAAAACGTTTTCAAACGTTCGTTTGACAACACTCGATACACTCGTCGCGAAAGAGCACATCCAGACAAAAAAAAAATACAAAAAACCAAAATTATTATAACGTCGCAAACAGCGCGAACAAATTTTGGACTCGCTCGGATTTGTCGCTCGCGGGTAAAGTGAATCAAGTTCGCGATTGAAATTACTTTCACAATAGACGTCACGCGCCGCACCGCGAACGTGAGAAGAATGACGAACGGCGCACCTTCCGTGTTCTTATAACATTTTATTGAAAAAACGAGCGTTACGCGGTAAGAGACGTGGTTGCGCGATTGTTTTATATGAAAAAAAAAAAAAAACAAAGATTCATAAACAAATCGATATGCAACATTTCGCGCGTAATATCGCATAATATTTTACGACTTTTGTTTTTTCTATTTCTATACTCTGTCGTTTTCGTGTTTCTTGGTTTCAAATCGATGTTACTGCTGTCTTTAAGTTTAAACAGGAACAACCTTGCGAGTTGCTCGTCCTTCGAATTGTTTACGATCTTTCCGTTTAAAAATCTGTATATAAATTTTTGCGTATTTAACAGTTCTTGTGATTATCATCTAGTTACATTCCGTACGATAAATTTACGTTAGACGCGAAAATTTGCGACAACTCTCCCGGATAACAAGTTTCTGGGTTGGAATTAATTAAATTCGAGGATGAAATTCTCTCGGGTTGAATTAATTAAATTCGGGGGAGAGGAAAAATCAATCATGTCACTCGAGCGACAGAGAGAGAGAGAGAAAGAGAGAGAAGATAAAAAAACAGTCGCGCGTAATTTCAACGCGGAGAAATATTTATAGAGAGATATGGGGCGTCGCGTGTGACTAAACAGGGGGTGGTGCAAACGCAACTCGTGTGTGTTACGTCTATTCATATCTTTCTTCATTCTGTTTTGCCGAGGACGAGTCACACGGACAACAATTTGGTCGAAATATCGCTACAGCGAGAAAATCCGGACATGCAGCGCGTGTTTTTTCTTCTCGACGAGATGTGATTACACACGTGAAAGACCGAAGATTCGCGCAAGTACGCGTAAACCTAAAAGAAAAAAAAAACAAAAAAATAAAATCAATCTCGGTAAAGATAAAAGCAAGCTGTTTGTTTGTTAAACAAATAAGATTGCGCGAATCGCGAGAATCGCACGGTTTTCGCCGAAGAATCGGATCGGAGAGAAAATGACTCTGACATAAATCCTACTCGTTTCCTTGATCCTAAATCACGATCCATAGAACATCGGCTGTCATTCCGTTTGGTATGTAGGACGCATCGAGTGCGACGTACGTACGTACGTATACACCACACGTTGCTTCTCTTATTTCACCTTACGCTGTCCGCCGAGTGTTCGAAAGTTTTCGTCCGACGGACTTTTATGTGGGAAAAATGTGGCCACAGCAAAAAAAAAACAAAAAAAACAAAAAAAAAGACAATGACAAATCCGGGCAATGAGATCTCCGATGAGACAAGAGGAGAAAGAAACGAGAAACGAGCGAAAGCGCAAAACCTAATTACGCGCATACAAAGCGCGTCGGTCACGCTTATTGCGAAGAAAATAAAATGCTTTTTATACGATTAAAAATTGTAAATAAAAAAAATAAAAAAAAAACCTAACTTCTTTTGTCAGAGGTACGCTGCGCGACGGGGGCCCGCAAGGCCCCCGCGGCTAGAGCCGTATGTAGGGCGCGCGATGGCACTGCGATTAGCTTCCAAATATGTTTGCAGAATTTTTTTGCGAATTTACGCAACGCGCTAATTACTCGTCTCGTTTTTTTGTTTGCTAAAACATATACGTATATATTTTATATATATATATATATAACATAACAACGCGAGAAACAAACGTCACACACGTTTCACAGCGTGTCTCTTCTTATGCTGAGATAAAACACATAAATTCTATCCGATCGCAATCAAGATCGAATAATTACCGCGACTACAAGTAAGATACTTACATCTTCGTAACGTTAACGATTAGCGCGGGATCGACGTCGTTGATCGGGCCTATGGAGAGCAGATCGGCGCCGCGGCACAGCAGATCCCGTCCGTCGGTTGCGACGACGTTGCACGACGACGGTGTCACGTCGGTTGGAGTTGCGCCGCTCCGTCGGTTGCAAATCTGCCAGAGTAAGATGATGATCGCCGAGATGACCGCTCTCCCGCTACGGCAAGACCGCGTGCACATACCGGCCGACCGTGTAGTGTGTGACGTGCGCGCGTAAACTCACTTTCGCGTAGCTCTCTTTTTTCTTCTTTTCTTCTTTTTCTTTTATCTTTTTCACTTCTTTTTTCCTCCGGGTTCTTCCGCCGCGCCCACGGGACACAAACCGTGGGATCACTTCACCATTCTTCCCAGCGGCGTCGTCCGCGGCACGTCCTCCACGACGAGACGGCTGAGCACGCGTGTTGCACGCGTGCGACCGTTAACGCGAACACCCCCATAAGAAGCAGCCGCTGCCGTCGTCGTCGCCGCTGCCGCCGCCGCCGCCGCCGCCGCCGCCGCCGCCGCACCGCTCAAGGGTGAAACGAGGAGGAAAGCGAGGTGACGAGATAGCGCTCTCCGAATTTTAATCCGCGAGACGCGATCTCCTCGGGCTCGCCCGAAAAAGAAATCTCCCGCTCGTATCGCGGCACATTCACCGACTGATCCGATATTACGCGCGCGCGGGGAGCCTATGCGGCTTTCGTATATCGTGCACATCCCTCCCTTCTCCCTTTTTACCATCTCCTCCTCCTCCTCCTTCTCCTCCTCCTCCTTCTCGACACCCACCCTGGACCACTCCGACTTTCTCGACTCGATCCTGCCGCGCAATGCAGCGCAAAACACCGCTCTCCCTCTTCCTCGCGGAGGTCACTCCGTGCCCTATCAAACAATTTAAAATGAGAATTTGCGCGCTCTTCTCCGAAATGAAGTATGCGGTTCCCGATACTCGGAAGATAGTTTCGCTATCGGAATACAAAATAATTCACAACAATACCCGGCGTGTTCCGCATGCAAACTTGCGGTCGATACTCCTTTTAGCTACTCCGCGCCGCGCTGCCGCCATGCCACATTCTCGTAAATTCCCTCCCCCCCTGACTATTTCAATCTCACAATTTTCCCGACCGTAAAGAGAATCGTCGTATTTTTGTTCCACACATTTTGTCGACGCCTTTTTCTTTCAGGAAAAAAAACTGGAAATATCGTGGGAATTAATATTCGATAATGGCGGACGTATTTGCATGTATATTACAAAAAACGTTTGATCGCATCCTTCAAAGCGGATGCTGCTGGAGCGACATTGCCCCGTCGTTCGCGTGTACCATCATGTCTCAGAATGAATAATGCATATTAATCTTCCTGCTGTTTGTCGCCGGTATAGATTAATTTTCTTTAACCTTTTACAGCGTCTGTGTACATAAAAATTTACAGACGCGGTTTCAAACTTCTACACCAAGGGAGTTTACACACTTTTATTCTTACAAAATACAAAAATGTATAAAATTATAAATTGCCAACCTGATAAATCTTGCACACATATCTCTTTCTGTAAATATTTAACATTTTTAAAAGAATCCTGGAGCAATTGTCAAATTTCATTGAATGGCTCCCTACGGGGATATACAATATTGAAATTGTTTGAAACATTTTTATCACTTATCGATAACAGCTAGATCGGTCGATAATCGGTCGACTGTTCCCCGATAGCATGGTGGAAGTAATAAGGTGTGCTCATTTCTCGGACGATTTTCGTCACGTTCTGCGCAGTGACTGAGATCCGCCATCTTGCGCGTTATTATGACGCGCACGCATGGTTGTGCGCATGGTGGTAACGCGGTAACGCGTCTGGATATAAACGGAGAAGCATGAGAAATTAGTTTTACTTTTGAGAAGATCATCGTGAAAAGACCATAGGTCATCTGTTTTGTCTGATATTTCCATGTTCGTTTCAGCAACTGTATCATTAGACTGATTAGACACATTCGTCTGATCCAATTCTCTCATTCACCTAGCAATACGACCAATTGCATGCNAACATGACAAAGGCTGATTAAAATGTAGTTTTTTGAACCTAGGATCTAGAATCGTTGAAGTTGCCATAATAGAATTGTCTTCTATTTGTCTAAATCTCATCAAAATTGAGTTTTGGAGACGATCAACTAAAGAAAGTGCAGTTTGCGTTTTTAGGCTCTCGCGAAGTTTTTCGTTTTTATTTTTCAAGCAATTGATTAATGGAATGATTTTGCTAACAGTAACAAATCGTTCTCCACATATTTCCCTTGTAAGTTTTTCAAGTGGTTGCAATACTTCTACAATTTCGTTTGCTAATTGAAGTTCAGATGNAGTCAACATTTCAGGTGAATCTGGAAAACTTAATAAAATCGACCCAACTTCTTTCGAGAGCAAAATAAATCGTTGTAACATCGCAAAAGTTGAATTCCATCGTGTGTCAATACTTTGAATTAATTTAAGGTGGGTAAGCTTCCGCAATGNATCTGCAGCAATAATAGATTGTTTAAAAAAGGTGACAATTTTTTAAATCTTTGTGCACAATAATATTGCATCTTGAAAGTTCATTGTATTCTCAGCGACTAAATTTATTGAATGTGCAAAACATGCAATATGTCTGGTGGATCCAAAGAAATCTCTCACTGCTTTTTTAATATTCGCTCCGTTATCAGTTACAACAACAATTATTTTTTCATCATCAATGTGCCAGTCTCGTAAAATTGTTTTCATCCATTTTCCTATAACTTCAGAGGTGTGTCGCTCTGTTATTTCTGTAACACCAATTGTAGTGGCTTGTAATTCTCCTTCAAATTCGNAGTGAACAGTCATCCCTAAAATAACTGACGGTGTTGAGTATGTCGGTCCAGATATCCGCTGTTACTGAGAAATAATTTATTTTTTCCAATTTTTGTTTTTCACATGCTTTTAGATATTCATATTTTTCTTTTATTTTTTTTGTGATNGATTTTCTTCCAGGTACAGAATAAAGAGGTACAATAGTTTTCATCAGATTTTTGAATCCTTCTTTATCCACTGTTTGCAAAGGCATATTATCTTTGGCAATCATGAAAATAATGGCATTAGTGATTTCTCNTGCTCTTGTANCTCCCTCTAAAAAGATAAATTTTTATGAATGATATTTATTATGAATAATATTTATTATGAATTTTTATGCACAGGTTTAATAAAGCTTAAATTTTTGTAGTTCTTCAGAGTTCAAAAGGCCCTAATCTCAAAATTCAATCTTTTCATTTTACTGAAAAAATATCTAACTCTAAATATTTAATTTATATATATATATATATGTATATACACATATATGTGTGTATGTATATTACCTCCAAATGATTTTATTTGCTTAAAAGCAAGGTTGGGTAAGTTAAATTTTTTTTTACTTAAGTTAAGTTACAGTTAAAGGTCTTTAAAATTTTATTTAGTTAAGATATAAGTTAATCTATAATGAAATTAATTGATTAAAAGTTAAGTTAATAAAAAAAATAATTAACAAGTTAAAAGTTAAATTTTTTTTCATGATTTTAGTGTTTTAGTCTTACAAATAATTACAAACATTTACAGTGTTTTTAATCTTACATATAATGGAAAAAATAAATGTACACTTTATTTAGAAATATACTTTATATATTTTATTATAAATTATATTGCGTTGGATTTTACGACCAGCGTTTATTGGCTCAATTCTCGAACACGTACGAATTTATTCGCATATAAAACGAATCATTCTGAGCTTTGTGATTGGTCGAATTTTACGGCCTATAAACATGTAAAATTAATTATGATCATAAGACGAAATATGTTCCGTTTTGTATGCAAACAAATAAAAAATCTTATGGCTATAGTAGATTCAAGAGAGTTGAAATAAAAAGTTACTAGTTACCGATAAAATATAACTAAATAAAGTTAAAAGATAAGAGTCTAAAAATGTAACTAGATAAAGTTAAAATTATTTAACTTTTTAACTTTTTAACTTAACTTTTATCTTTTTAACTAGACACTATCCAACCTTGCTTAAAAGCGCTATCGATTTTTGNCTGGAATATATATTGTTTATCCGAATGATAAAATCTGCTTTCTGATTCTGACGGACTAGGTATTGGTGAAGAAATTGTTGAATCAGATATGTCCATGAACGTCAGTGTAGATGCCGGTGATGGCATTGACAATTTTAATTGCTTCTGAAAATAAACAAGAGTAAATAAATGATGCAATAAAATAATCAAGAAATATATATGTAAACATTGTAAGATATTAATTTACCGAATTACTTGCTTGTTCCGGATTAAGGGCCTTTTCATTGCTATCCTCACTTTCTCCTAAAATTAGTTTCACTTCTTTATTTTCTGCATGATTTCGTTTTAAGTGATTGTTNAAATTAGTTGTACCACCACCTTTTCCGCCACACTTTACTATTTTATTACAAATTTGACATGTAGCATCACCANTATCAATAGATTTTATGAAAAATTTCCAAACAAAAGATTTCTTTATTTTAGGCACTGTAAAAACATTATTTTTATATTCTTGTAATAAAATGCAAACAATAAGAATAATATATTCTACTTCTTAAAAATAATGTAAAGAAAAAAGAATAAAGGAAAGGAAAAAATACTTTAAAAAATTAGGGTAAATGAATAGTTATGTTCAACATATTGAAAAAAGTATAATTTTTCAAGCATTAGCAAATATACCTACTGTTTTTCGTTTAACATCAAGTTCATGACATTCAAATTATCTAGTCTAGTGTAAACTAGATTTGTAACTTTTAATGTTTTGGAAAGCACAGCAGATGTTGCAAAAATGCTGTAAGGGAAAGGAAAGGCATGCAATGGGTTATAAAATAAAAAAATCACAGAAATATAGAAGTAGAAATATAGTAGTATTGTAATGCAGATCAAACGAAAATATTTGTGCAGTAAATGTATATAATTTTATACGTACCAATTTCTGTACTAATTATAATCTTTTGTTCGATTATCAGAGTCTAGTCCTAGAACCTAGTCTAACCAGATCAGAGCGAGATTATGATTATATCTAGCCAGAGCAGAATGAGATTAGGGTTATACACGTGCCCATCAGTTTCGAATCATTCATCGACGTCCAACGGTTGCTTCTGTGTTTTATTAGAAGAATAATTCACGCTTGTCTAAAATTGACTAAACAAGATTTTTTCACAGAATGAGTGAATCATCAATCACGAAATCGTTGTTATGTGGCTTCTGTACACAGGGCGCGATAAAGCTTGCCGCGCGGTGAAAAGCGACGCTGTGATTAATCGAAAAATTAGATTCAAATTTTTTCCACGCGGCAAAAGTTATATATATATTATTAAGCATTTGATTGGCCACCGCGTCGCTTCTTGCCGCGCAACAAGCTGTACCCAAGGTAAGTTTCACTTGCCGTTTGCAACGCTCATGGAAGTATTTCATCCTTGTTTTTCATCGAAAGTTAAACAAATATAACTAACACTTACGAGCGTTGCGAACGGCAAGTGGAACTTACCCTCAGGGGTATGTTCCAAAATCCTACTTTAGTTACCAAAACTATAGTACACGTGACGTGAAATATAGCATTTTAGTAATCAAGGTAGGATTTTGGAACGTACCCCAGTGTGGTTAGATGGGACGCTTTTTTGACGTATGTGCGTGGAAACATACACAGCATATACCAATGGCCGGCGGCTGCTGGTCTCCAAATTGGGACCCAAGAGAGCCAGCGAGATTCGCAAGCTGTTTAATCTGTCCAAGAAGGACGACGTTCGTCGTAAAACGTCCCGTTCAGAAAGAGGGCAAGAAGAAGCGTCTAAAGGCACAAAATCAGCGCTTGATCACTTCTATTGTTCTTCAGGTGCGTAGTTTTTCTCAATCGAGAGAGAAACCAACAAGAGAATTTAAAGATTAATGAATAAGGTCATACGAGCCACTTTGCAGGATGCTTAAATGTTCTATTATACATATATATATATACATATATATATGTTCACATGTAAATTTTTACACGTGTATTTTTTCGCAATATTTCAAAATTAGTTCGGGGGGTATTCGGGGTCTTTCATACATGAGATGCAAGTATAGCATACTGTATGATTTTAAGAATTGAAATTTCAATTCAAAAAACA